TAAACCCTAAACCCTAGACCGAGTTCCCGGCAAATGCGCTGGCGGCGGGCCTTTGGGCGGAACAGGCCGTGCCTTCGAACGAACTTGGCCTGTCAAAGTGGATGGCTTCTTAAAATCTGGAGATCCTCGGTTTAGGGTTTAGGGGTTTAGGGGTTTAGGGGTTTAGGGTTTAGGGTTTAGGGGTTTAGGGGTTTAGGGGTTTGGGGTTTAGGGTTTAGGATTACTGTTGATGTTCTAAATCCTGCATTACCTTAAGGACCCTATGCTATGGGAACTATGGTATACTCCTAATTACGGGTAATGCAAGCTTTATATCATCAACCGTATTACCACTCTGCATCTCCGCTCAAAGCATTTGTAAAAGTGCGTGCATTTCGACGTGTGGTTAGTTAGCATGGTATGTATGCTTGCATATGTGAATATCTATATCTGCGGACACAGCACCCATGAGAAAGAAGCTTGAAATCTGCGTGTTTTCGTTTTTGAGGTATCCTCAAACCCTGAACACAACTAATGCCGACTTCGGGGCCTGAACACGTAGAATAGGGTTTGCGCGTATACTATAGAAACTTACAGAGACTACCATAAGGCTGAGTCCCCTAGCCCCCCAAAAAAGTTAAGCTTTTGAATTAGAGTAGGACTGTATATGCCCCAAACGGTTGAAGGTTACCTACTCAGCCTCCGAAGAAAAAGCATGTGGGTAGTTCTCTAAATTAGGGTCCCTTTTTAGGTCCCCAGTATAGTACGGCACCAATATAAAAAGGACCCTAAAAGGGACCCTAATATTGAAAACTACCCATGTGCCAATTGGACAAGCCTTTGCCAGGCGAAGTCGGCAGAGAGGGCTCGGAAGACCTGGACGTACACGTCACTTAGAGGCTCATTGTGCTCTAGATTCGTACTGGTCTGAATATCTAAGATAATGTCACAGTATACTATGTGTATATACATATACATACACCTCTATATATATATATATAATGTGCCATGATGGATAAACAGATAAACACACACACACACACCAAAACACATACCTCTAACACCCGATCCGAACTCTTTTGGAACTGCTTGTTCGTTTCTTGTTGGCCTCGGGCTTTGAACTAAACATGTGGGTTTAGGGTTTGGGGTTTAGGGTTGTAGGGGCTGACACAAGCGCGTGCCTGTGGCCTGGCTTAGGTTTAATGAGTTTTTGGGTTTGGAGTTCAAGAGGTTAGGGTGTAGGATTTAGGGTTCAAGGGGTCCTTTAGACTTTAGGGTTCGAGGTTTACGGGTTTCGGGTGGGGAGTACTAAATGCAATGGCGGCTGGCGGGCTTTGTGCTTTTTGCAATGCTCCGAGAGGTTCAGGTGCCCAGCGCCGTTTGACGAAGCAGACCTCTGAAATGGACGGTCTGATGCAGACATTGAAACAAACCGTCCGGTGTTGAAGGAACCGCTGTATCGATCCCTTCAAGACCTCGACAAGCGAAACCCAGAACTTTTTGCCGCGGCATTCACTTCTCCGGCTCCTCGTTGGGGATGAGGATGCCTGCGCTCAAGTCGAACCCTAAACCCTAAACCCTAGACCCTAAAACCTTAAACCCCAAAAACCCTAAACCCTCAAAGCCCTAAACTCTAAACCCCAAAACCCTAAACCCTAGAAACCCTAAACCCTAAAACCCAAAGCCCCATAGTATGTTGGGGGTGAGGATGCCTGCGTTGAAGTCAGCGACCATCTTGTTGATCTTCCCCAGGTGGTACTTAAGGTTGTCGGCTGACCTTGCACAGCTCGCAGAGACTCGAGCACCCCTTAATTAAGGAAAAGACCTTACATCATAATATTCGGGTTTAGGGTTTAGGGTTGTGGGGTTTACGGTTTAGGGCTTAGGGCCCCTATGATTTAGAGTATCTTCCTTATCTAAGGGGTCTTGGGCTCTCTGGGTTTCAGCCAGCCGAAAATGTGTACTGTAGGGGCCTTAATAATCAGAAACGGGTTTTGGGGTATATAGCACTATAGTTACAATATAACTATAAGAAGGAAGCCCCCCAACTAATATAGGTAATTAGTAAGGCCCTTATATTATCAACATGCGAGGCCCTCCACCCTAGCCCTAAGTCCCAAACTCTAAATCCTGCACCTCTTTTCCCCCCCTACCCCCCTCCCCTGCGACCCCTCATCTGTTCTTCTTCTCTCACTAGCTTGGGCAGCCCTGGCTCTTTTTCGGTTGGTCCTAAGATTATCAAGGTCGGCTGTCGCACAAAGACAGAAATTGTCACCATAAGATAGGTTGCTGGAAACAGAAACGCTACATTCTGGTGCCTCGGTCCTAAACCCTCAGCCCGGAACCCTACTATATACCCAAACCCCCAAACCCTATATGCCCAAACCCAAAACCCTGAACCCTATATACTCAAACCCCAAACCCTGAACCTTATATACCCAACCCCTAAACCAAGGCTCAACCCTGGGATTTTGGAACGGCTAGCGGCTTGCCGGCTGTATGGATGTTGGTGATGATTTCGAAGACGCTCCTCAAAAAAGGCGGCCCGAAGGAACCCAGCACTAAAGGCACAAGATGTCGAGGACTGGGCTTAGGGTTTAGGGCTTTTTGGTTTTATGCTTGTAAGGCTTATGGAATCCTAGTTTACAGCCCCCTGAAACCCCCAAGAATCCAAACCCACAGAGGCCTTAGAAGCCCTATTAGGGCGATCGTAAAGTATGGTATGATGTTGTAAAGTATGGTATAGCATATATATATATATATGCTAGCCCCCCCCCCAATTGACCAACTCTGAATACCAATACTTTCACTGCCTCACGAATGTGATTACTCATAATAGTACTACCAGTAAAGCTACTATTGGAATTTCTATTAGTAATATATTAATGCTAATACTAGCATTAATAACAAAACTAATTCTAGTGTGAATACAAATGACCCTACGGCTACTTACAATCATATTGTTATTAGCAATGTTAATATCCATAAAAAATATGCATACTAATGCCTGTACCAATGCGGGTGCATATAATAATGCATGTATTACTCCTGCGAGTAAAGATATTCTTACTCTTATTGTGCATAATATTCATACATTAAAACTCCGTACTCGTATTACTGTTATTATGTATACTAATGTTAGCATTAGTTCTTACTAACATTTATATCCAGACTGATATTACTCCTACGAATAAGCATTTTCGTAATCATATCAACATTAACCTTAATACTAATATTAAAATAAACATTACTAATATTTACACGAATACTGGATTTAATGAATACTGTTACTCTCACGATTACTTATACTCATATGAATGTTAATAATTAATACTATAAATGTTTGTCTTCCTACAGTTACTAGTAATCATATTCATATTACCAGAAATATGAATACCACTATACATACTGATGCGAATACTATTTTCTCAATACTCATATCAAAAATAAATAGTACTGTTAATACTCAAACCAATATACATACTATTGCTGATATCAATGCAAATACATGCATTAATGTAAGTACTACTCCTGTGAATACTAATACTCATATTCTTATTCTGCACAATACAAATGCATTAGTTTTCATATTCATATTAGTACTAGTTCTTACCAACACATATTCGTATTCATATCCGTATTAATTTTAGCTTTAGTTTTACTATTAAAAAAAGTTAATACTGATTTTTTCAGTACTAACTAATACTCTCACGTATACTTGTACTCATAAAAATAATACTAGGAATAATTGTGCTCCTACAAATACTAACAATGATATTCATGTTTCTCGTAATGTTAATACCAATATACATACTGATACAAATATTACTACCCATCCTTTTTGGTAATTTTAGAAGTATTAATC